TGGGGGGGACGGCGGGGGGGCCGGGCGCGCCCCCAGCAGGCCCGCGCGCAGCAGGTGCGCCGGCGCGCGCTCCCCGGGCACCCGGGCGGCGGCCAGGCGGTCACGGCCGGCCCGAGCGACTGGCCGCGCCGGACTCGGCGGCGTGCGCGCGGGTTGCCGCCACTGCGCATGGCGCTGCTTGGGCCTCCGCGCCGCTCGGGCTGGAAGGGAGCGGGGCCTGGCCGGCAGCTAACTGTCTGTTTGTGGTTTGTGCGCCAGGAGGGGCTCAAGAGTCGGCCTGACTTGAGGAAGGGCGTCCGAAGCTGTGGAGGGACCCGGGAAGGCCCTACCAGGGAAGCGGGTCTTCAGAACTTCCCCTGGGGGGAGAGGAATGCACTGGAGCTCCTGGGCCCGGGCCGGGGATGGGGGTCCACGTGGTCTTACTTCCCGTTCTTGTCCAGGACTCCGGGGAGCGGGTGGTCAAGGCCCTGCAAAGCCCTAGTCTGGAGACGCAGGTTTCTTGATTTTGTCTAGTGATGGGAGACTCATCCCCGCCGCCGGACTGGTGTGGGAATTGGGTTTGTGGAGAAGCCTGAAAGGCGTATGTGGGAAGAATCATATCCGTTCAGCCTCTTTGGGAGGAACGTAAACCTCTGATGGAAGGTCTTGCGGGGGAAACTCTAGGGACCCATTTTACAGATGAAAAATGAAACGCAAGGAATGGTTGGTGATTCACCCCAGGTTGTGCAGGGTGGGATCAGGCTTTGTGCTCGAACCTCAGGCTTTTTTCGACAACTCCCCTCCTGGCTTCCTGGGGAATTCCGGGATTCTACGTTCATTGTGGGGGGTGGGATCTTGGAAACCCCAGAAACTAATGAAACTAGAGGCCTCTGCTCCCCCTCTTTCGCCCTAGACAGAGAGACCTGGCTAGGCAGGGTGATGTGGTCCAGACCTTCTGTCCAGCGGACTGAGAAGGACCGAGAAGAATGCAGCTTCTACTCTTGCCTGGTGGAGACAGCCCCGGTGTGACTGAGGCCCCACCCACACCTCACAGCCCCACCTTGCTGGAGATGAAAGGAGGCTCTCTGGGCCATGGGCATCCAGGAGACACTTCTGCCTCTCCCTTTCTTTACCTGTTCGATGCCTGGGTCAGTGTTGAAGCTTACCAAGGTGTGATCACTGTTACAGAGAACCAAATGTGTGTTTGTTTTAAGTTTGTTTGCGTATCAGTCTGCGCGTATATGCAAGGATGGTCCCCAGAGCTCAGAGGCACGTTCTTCCTCAATAGTACTTAACCTGTGGCTATTTATTTTCGGAAAGTCAGCCTCCTGAAATAAGGTCATGCTATGTCAGCCATTGTATTTTGTGTTTTAGCGCATCATGCACCTGGAGGGTCTTGTTCCTGGCTTGGTATCCGAGGCTGAGCTTCGGGCTTAAGGTTTTCTGTATCCTTGACTAGGGCCTTGTCTTGTGTGGGAGGATGAGCTGTTAGTCCGTGCTTTCAGGAGATAGGTGCTTGTTCTCTGGTTGAAGTTGTCTGTTCTTCCTGATATATGGGCAAGAAAGAGGAAGCGGGTTATTAAAAACAGCTGACTTCAAATGAAGCCCTTTGGATGACTTTGGATGCTATTTCCTTTGAGATTCTATAACTGTACTTCTTTTTTTCCTGAAGTAACCTTTTTTTTTTTTCCCAAGTACATTTTCTTTTCTGAGAGACTCTGGTGGTTTTTAATTTACTTGTATAGCTTCTTAGGAGGAAGGGAAAAAAAAAACCATTCCTAATCTCTCATGCATCAGAGAAGTGCTAAGTACCTTATAACTTGTTTTGCATCTGATCCATAATTTTTATTGCAAATGTGTGACTGCTTAGCTTAAGTGTCTCCTCAGAGGTGTTTTGCGGTTGTGATTTTCCCCTTCACAGGAAAATCTTCCATCAATCAAGCTTTGAAAATACTTATTTTTAGCAGAGCCGTTCTTACTTGAGTCCTCTGTTGCTTTAGTTTTTGAAGAATCTCCTCTGGAGATTTTAAGAGTTGGCATGCAGACAAGCTATATATCCGTAATTATCTAAACCGGGGAGGAAAATACCCTCTTCATCCAAGAAGTTCATTGTTAAGTCTGAGATGAAGAACAAAAAATAAAAAATCAAAACTCTCCTGGACCTTGGGGGAATTTTTGCTCAATCCTTTGAATTTGGGGCCAGGCTCCAAGTTGACTGAAATCACTGTATGCCTCAGCCAGTGGCTCTAAGTTAACTTTTCCTGTTTCTTGATTTTGTGGCATCAAATAATCGGACAGTTTTCCGGCCCTAGGAGCCATAGAGATCGTGTAGTCTAAACTGCCCACATTGTCCTCTGAGCCTCAGAGAAGGAAGGGCTCTGTGTGATGTCGCATAAATACAGGTGGCCCCCGACTAACGATGGCTCCACTTAGATTTTTCAACTTTACAATGGAAAGTGATACTCATTCAGTGGGAACAGAACCTGGAGCTTTGAATGTGGATCTTTGCCCGGACTGGCGACACGCAGTAGGACACCCTCCCATGACCCTGGGCAGTGGCAGCCGCCGCAGCTCCAGGACAGCCGCGTGATCACAGGGTCAGCCACTGATACCCTTACAACCATCCTGTACTCACTCAACCTTCTGCTTTGCACTTTCAGCACAGTATCCAGTAAGTTACACGATCCACTCAGCACTTTATTATCAAACAGATTTGTGTGAGAGGCTTCTGCCCAACTGCAAGCTAACGTCCCTGTTCCCAGCACGGTTAGTGTAGGCCAGGCTGCCACACTATGATGTTTGGTATGTTTGGTGTATTAAAGGCAATTTCGACTTCTGATATTTTCAACTTCAGATGGGTTTATCGGGGCCTAACCCCGTCATAGGTTGAGGAACATCTGTGGTGAAGTCTCTGAGTTGTGTGGGAGCTCACAGGGATGCCCCCATTCCCACCCCATTCAGGGGCTTGTGGCCTCGGTTGTATTTGCTGGGCACTGATTAAATCCTTCCAGTTGCATTGCTGGTTATGAGTTAAGTTTCTTATTCTTTCTTGCTATTTTGTGTTTTTGAAAGTGTTCCATGAAGTATCTTTCATTAGGTTTTTTTTTTTAAGATTTTATTTTTAAGTAATCAACAGGCTTAAAGTCACGACCCCAAAATCAAGAGTTGCATGCTTCACCAACTGAGCCAGCCAGGTGCCCTAAATCTTTTTTTTTTTTTTTAAGGTATCCTTTTATATACAAAATGACATTATATAGAAAGTTGGGAAAGTAGAGAAAAAGAGAAATATACTGTAATCCTTCAACTGTAACACAGCCAGTCACCACTTGGGCTTCCTTCTAGTCACTGATTTTCCCCCTTGGAGCTCGTACCTGGTGTTTGGGCCACTCGGTACCCTCCTCTGCCAACCACCAGCTCACGTTAAGACTCAAGTATTTTTCTCTGGTGCTTCATTATCTTCCTAAGCTTTAGGTGTCTGAGCACCATTCTGCTTGGTAGCTGTTCCATCATCTGCTCATGCTTTTCCTTGTGGTTGAAGTCCCAGGATGTTCTGGTTTCCCCAGTGGGCTGCCCTGTCTTGGAGAAAGTGAGTGTCTTAGGTTGGTACAGCCTGAGGTGAGGATTTGGTTGTGGGTGCTTTATTTGAGAGGGTGCTCTCCTGGGAGGCAGGACAGGGAAGAGAAAGGAGATGAGAAAAGATGGGGTCCCAGAGAAAGTCAGTGTCACCCTTGGGACCCTGTGGAGTTGAGTTCTACCTCAAGTCCACCTCCTTGAGGTAAGGGGGAGAGCGAGCTTTTGAGCTTTTCTGTCACCCGTGATCAGCCAGCCATCGGTTGCTGCCGGGGGAAGGGGGTGTTGCACAACCTCCGGGGCCTCCGGGTGAGGCAGGCCTCTTGGCAGGGGGTGTCTGACTGGACAAGGTTCTCTGTGTACACCATGAGCTGCCGTGCTGCCCCCTGCTGAGGGGAGGCAGATCGGCCTCGTAAAGGGCA